GAAGAAGCTTAAAGTTACCAGACTTTCAAGTGTTGTGACATGGAAGGTTTCACATTGAAGCCAAACAGCTCTGACAAGCTCTGAAGGTCGAATAGTAATAGTAATGCTCTACATGTCTTAATGTCTCTAGATTACTTTCTACCTTTACTGGTGCCTTTCGCGAAGAATTCTTACGTGCGTCAGTTTCAAGAAAACGTCAGCAAAACAAGGAAGCATGTTTCCAGAAACATTCATAGCGCGTGAAGTTTTCCGAATGTTCCTCAGGTTTGCCATACGGGAATTTTAGCGAGAATCCGAGCATGCGAGCAGTGACAAAAATTTTGCGAGCACGAGCAAGTGAGCACTCATCTAATTTTTGCGAGCAGTTCGAGCACTTTTAAATTGAATGGGACCATTCGATACCCCTAGTTGATGAGGCCGAAGCCGGCCAAATCAACTATCACCTCATAGAAATCGAGAGCGAATAATCTAATTGTTTTAGTAGAATTCTTACTAAAATTTCCATCAAATGACGGTTTCCAATTATTTCTTGACGTATTATTAAGCTTTGCGTCTAAAAAAGGTCGCTCGGATTGAATTAAAGTTGTGTGCGCGCGCATCAGTTTTTTTTCAAAATTTTGTACTTTTTTAAATGTCCAGAAACCGTAAATGTCCTTCATTTAGACTTCTCAAGAATTTAATTATCCATTCGTATCAAGATGTTCCTTCAAAACTTTGGATAAGCGAAAAAAACGTCTCCATTTCCTAGACGACGTTTTTTCGTTTTTCCATAGTTTTGAAGGAACATCTTGATGCGAATGGATAATTAAATTCTTGAGAAGTCAAAATGAAGAACATTTACGGTTTCTTGACATTTAAAAAAGTTGAAATTATTGAAAAAACTGATGCGCACGGGCACAACTTCAATTTTAAGAGAGCTTGACTGTAAAAATCGAGAAAAAAAGCCTTTTTGCGCCGGATGCCAAACAAATTTATTTTTCCAATTTTCTTCAAAAACATTTTGCAGGTCGAGGTTCTATAGAAAAAGCAATACCTGCAATATGGAGGTCATGGGGGTTTTATTTGGGAAGAAATGACGCTTGGAAGTTCACACCAAATGACGTGACTAATATCCCAGGGTCAAAATGTCCAACTTCAGCTGGCGAAGTATGAAAAAGGAAATCGCGAGTTCGGGCGGTTTAACAGCGCTGTTTTTTTGCCAGTGCCATTCAAATATGTATTATTTTGTGAATTTCAGGTCAAAAGTTGTT